CAATGGATCCTTACAGTGTGCTGCAGTGATCTGGCGCCAAACGTGGGCTATCTACAGTCTCAGGTGCACAAGGGTAGGGTGAGGCACTTGATCGAAGCCAATAGGGCACTTACCGAAGCGAAAACTCACCAAGTCTCCCTGATGGTAGCGCCCATTCCTGAGCAGCACGTGACGTTTTGCACTTTTTCTGATGCAAGCTTTGCCTCCTCAAAGGACAACCACTCGTATCAGGTAACCCTGGTGATTGCCACGGATTGGCGCACGCTCGCAAATGAGAGGGCTGTTGTGGTTCCAGTAGCCTGGACCTCCCGTAAGATTAGCCGGGTTGTACGTAGCTATCGAATGTCCTGGATTCGTCTTTTCTGGGAGTGGTTAAAGAACCCTGGAATTGATATTTCGCGTCCGAAGAGGTTCTCCGAGGAGCTCGTAAGGCATCGTTAGTGACAGATTGCAAGAGTGCCTACGACGTAGCAACTAAGACAGCGGTTCCCAACTGTGCTGAGCTTAGGACTCAGCTTGAGTGCCTTTTGCTCAGGGAGAGGCTGCAGGAAAACTGCAGACTAAGACGGGTGCATAGCAAGGCGACGCTGGCTGCCTGTCTAACGAAGACCATGGACAGCACTGAACTTCGGCGGGTCCTTGGGTTGGGGAAGCATGCTCTTTTCGATGAACAAATGAATTTAGAGCATCGCGCGGGTCGCAGACAATCGCTTCGCTGGCTAAGCGCACAGCAGCCTGCAGTAGCAGAATCTTCACAAGAGAGTTGTTAGTGAGCATTAATCCAGCAGAGTTGAGAGGAAGACTCTGCTATGCCCGGCCATTCGTGGCTTCAGTGAGGGAAGGGAGGGGCGGAACTTGAGCCTGGGAAAGAAGGACAGGGTCCAGGTAGGGGGTCAGGGGCTTTCTCCACAACCTTCAGGACTTCAGGGCTGAGTAATTTCAGGCCAAGGGGGGCTTTAACTCAGGGTTCTTTCAGACAGGGTCTGTAGGCAAACGGGGTCTTTCAGGTTCAGGGTGGCAGGTCCGGGCTACACTTTCACAATCACCATCGTCATCTTCATCATCGTCGTCAAGTGACGGCTGATATCCTTTGGCTGGTGTTGCATCACTTGCTGCCTGCTGACTTGGACTCCTCGGAGGTGGTGCGTCTGGTACAGCCAAACATTGCACGATGCGGAGGCAACCTTGATCTTGGTTTCCTTGACACGACTTGGGATTCCAAGAGTTCCACAAGCCTCAGTCATTGTTTCAATGTCAAAAGTAGGTGCACATCCTCTGCTCATTGTCCGCGCCTTGATAATTCCTGTCGACGTGCTCACTAGGTTGGTTTTCAAGCCCCTGCAACACGTGAATCTTGCGCAGGTACCTTCAACGGACAGGTGTCACGCAACTCTATGTGAAAGCAACGCCTGTCAAGCGTCACAGCGATGGGGCATCTTTCAGAAGCACCTCCACCTGATTCTCACACGCAGCTAGTTTCATACACATGTGTGTGAGAAACCTGCAAGTCAGATCAGTGAGTGAGAGTGTCTTCCTTCTGACGCTGCAGATATCACAGGTCATCCCACGAGAGGGCATCTTTCTACAAGCCCAGTCTGCATAAGGATCATCATGGCCCAAAGGCTTTTATTGACTCCAAGTGTCGTCATGCATCGGATTGCAAGGGATGGTTCGAAGGCTCTATCTTTCCTTTCTTGATATCTTTCTTCACTTTCTTATTTTCGGTATCCTTCTTTGGCTCCTTTTTTGCTTGCTTTTTCTTTTCATCATCATCTTTTTTCCTCCCATTCAGCTTCGGCAGCTGCTCTTTCAGCCTGCCATGTCAGTTCGGTTTCATTATGCAACTCAGCTTGCGTTGGGGGAGCTTGCCCTCCCCCATGCGCCCAAAATGGGGCAACGCCTTGCAAAGACAGCGGAGCTCATGCTTTGCACAGTCGTTCTCGGCCACACCTCGAGCTCGGCTCCACACAACAAGCCACAGCTTCGGACTCCCGCCGCTGCGCTCCGTCTGATTGATGAGGAAGAGCACGGTTGGTGGACCCTCGTGGGCCCAATCGGCAAACTGGTATTTGAGGCCTTGTTCGTCGTAATCGACGAACGAGGCGCTGGTCCTCGTCTGCGGCCTCCGTGTACGTGTCCATGCTAGCCGCCTGCTCGACCAAGCTCCGACTCGGCACCTTAAGCTACCCTGAGATCTTCAAAGCCAACCCAGTGAAAGCCCCAAGTGTCAACTCCTTTTCTGAATCAACTTCCACCAACATCGTCCATGCTCTCAGTGGCCACCCAGAATTTGCCAGCCTCCGCCTGCCGGATAGACACCAGATTGACACCAGCATGCGCGGGACTGACCTGTCAGCGGCCGCTTCAGGGGCCGGGGCAATGGCGGGCACAATCACATCACCATCCCCACTCGAACTGCGAGGAACAAAGCGCCGCCCCAACATCACAGAACACCCTCACCGGTCACGGCCTCCATTCATCTAACGGGGCGCGGCCTAAATGTCCGCCTCCGTGGGCTCGCTGCTGAACTTGTACACCGGACGGCTCAACCTGGAATAGAAATGAACCTGTTCCCCTTTGATTCTAAATCTTGAAGGCCCTTGCGCGGGAGAATCGCAATTCTGTTCATATAAATCCAAGTCCGGCGTTAGCACGAACCACCCTGCAGGCGACCTTCCCTTCCAGATAAGAATGCGTTCGTGCCACATTGTGTCATCACTATACAAGTCCACCGCCGGCTCCGGCCGCCGACCCAGATTGGCACTCAAGCTGAGCAACAGCGCAGGAAGCAACCAAGACCAATCGATCTGCGGCCTCGAATCGGGGCTCCTTCAGTCCAACCTCCACAGCCTTGAAAAGCAAAGCTGTCAGGAATGCTTCCAGTTTCATGGCAGCACGGGCCACTACCCGTTTACCTTGAGCACGGCATTATCCGGCGACAGCTTTCAGCTATGCCTTCGTCTTCTCGCGCACGCACGAACAAGTCGTCATAGTCTGGCATTGTCCATCAACTGACAAACCGTATCTTGCCATTGCCAACCAACCGTTGGACTTTCTTTTTCCGGCTTCTTTTCCTGCTCTACCGGCTTCTCCTCCGTTGGAGCTTTCTTCTCCGGCTCCTTCTCCTTCCCTGTCGGCTTCTCCTCCGTGAGAGATTTCTTCTCCTCTTTTTCATCATCACTCTTGCGCGAAGCGACTTCGAAACCAGCAGACGCGCGAGCAAAAAATCCCATTTCATCCTGTAGACGGAAGGGCGCGCAAAGTACAGCTTGGAATTCCGAGGAAGCGCTTGGAACATTGCAACTGCAACAGTAATGCTGGCAGCTAGCAGCATCATAGCATGTTGTACGCAAGCACCCTGATGCAGCTCTTCGGTTCGCCCATTCACAGATAAACGCAGCATTGCTCTGTCATCAGATCTACAGAAGAAATCAGCCTTCAGAAAGCGCTAGAGACGCAGAGGCTGAGGGCGGCGCTGTCACCGTTCGGGCTGCGCGTGAACTTGGAATTGACGGAAGCAATGCAAAGGTGCCGCGCGCGTGCAGCTCTTGTTCGAACAGCTTCATGGACTCGATCAAGACACCGGATCCAGCGTAAGCTCGCCCAGGGCATCGTCACCAAGGCTTTCAATGAGCCAGGCTTCAAAGAGTTCCCAATAATTATCGAGACTGCAGCCCAACCAGAAGCTTTCCTCCCATAACAAAGATGGGAAGGATTGAGATGGCAAGCGGCTCGTCAGAGCCCACGCCAACAAGGATGTTCAGGCGGAGTGCTTGAAACAACTTGCAAAGCCCTGTGAGCGCTTTGGTGGAGTTGAAGCCTCGACACACAATCAGAGGTCGGCAGGCCCGACCTGAAGAATCAGCAAAAACCAAATAAAGGCGAAACACAAAAACCTCAACGTGCTTAGCAATATTCACGCAGGCTTCCGTGTCTTCTGTGTGGATCACTGCAGGCAGAGGAGGGGGGCTTGCAGCAGAGGAGGCCGCCTGGCCTTCAGCAGTGGCGGAGCAGTAGCTTGCGCTGGAGTTCTAAAAGATGCAGGAGTTGCGCGTGCGAAACAAAGGCAAATGAACCTTGGCCAGAGGCCGCAGACCTTGCAGAAACGAAGCGATCCTCAAGTGCAGCAAAGCGCAGCCCTTGCGGGGCCACCGGGAGGCCGAGCAGCAAGTCCATGTCACTCATGCAGAGCATGGTACCGCTTGTTGCTGTGCAGCACGAAGGCCACAATCAAGAAGTAATGCTCAGGCAGATACTTATCAGAACCCTAAGACCAGTCAGTGATGGCAAGTACAGTTGTAGAAGGATGAATCCAGATTCTTGAGGAGATAGCTCAGCCGCCGAAAGATGAGCGAGAGGCAAAAAGACCTCGGAAGAGAAAGCCAGGTGCCTGAGAACCTCGAACCCTAAATCTCCAAGTGTCTGCACCTATGACTCGGGCCGACATGTGCATGCAAAACACTTGCGGCAGGCACGCGCTGAACATTCTCTGACAAGACATGCTGTGCCGAATCAATCAACATGTTGCACTTTGGTTTTTGCAGGCAGTTGGAGGTCTCTTCCCTGATGGTCCATAAATGTGGGGCGACATTTGAATTCGATGATACCAGAATGCTATCGTGCTGCAAATGACCTCAATGTGTCTGAGGCATGCCTGAGGATCATGCAACATCTTAGTTTGGTGCATGGAATCATGTTGTCGGCGTTGCTGTCCCCTGACGGGGGTCTGCATATTCAGCTACATGTCAACAATGTTAATGGCCATACGGATCCTGCATGGGTCCCTAAAGTCTGAGAACAGCGGAAGTCCTTGTACACTAGTGTATGCCAGACATGCATTACCGTGGCTTGAAAGCTTTGAGCACTTGTCCTCCTCCAGCATCTCCAGGTTGTCACCCAATCGAACCAAGTAGCGATGCGCTGCCAAATCCTCCAGGAAGAGGCTGGGAACTGAAGCAATTGACACCGCGCACTGCCACGCACATGTCATAATTCCGTAGTCAGGGAGCTGCTGATGAGTAGTTGCGGGTGAAAAACGTGGCCAGATCACAGCCGTGCCGTAGCCAGTTGATGAACTCCGCTTGCAGCTCTGCGGCGCTGGGGCACCTCAAAACGAAGAGCTCATTCTCATAGACTTAAGTGGGTCTGCTTTGCGGCAAAGTGGCAGCTGGACGGCGAGGCTCTGGGCCGTGTGGTCGGCACAGGCTGCAGCAGCCACTTTTAGCACCACAGAACCAGGCCTGAAAATGAATTTTCTCTTGCTCTATCCGCTCTCCTCTCCTCCTCTTCTTCGTAACGGCTCACTTTAGGCCCTGCGCTAAACCTAAGGCCCTGGAGGGGCGCCTGCGCACGTCCACGGTCTGGTCATCTGAGGAGCTTTCTTTCTTTCTTTCTTTCGTACGGGCTATGGAGTGATCAAGTGATCACTCCGTGCTTCAGTGCCCAGCCCATCTGAGGAGCTCTTTCTCTCTCTCTCTCTCTCTCTCTCCTGCCAGCATGCCCTGTTGCAGCAAGGTGGCCCCTCCTCCCGGCCTCAGAGACTGTCAACTCTTCGTAGCTACTCCAAGCATCCAAGCATCATGCTTCACGTGCTTCATGCTTCCCGCTTGATGTGCAGGCCATCTGCCTTCTTCTGGGGTGATGCTGCGCACGACTTCCGTGATGGAGGCGTCTAAAACCTCGACCTAGCTTGAATCGAGCTCTCTTCAAGCGCTCTCAGGAAAGGGCGAGAGAAGCTCTGTGGATTGTTAGGGCTTTTACCAAGGTTTCGGTGCAGAGCAGATCCACAAGCCGGGCAAAGCGCAGCAGGCGCCCGCACTCGTGGCGCAAGCGGCTGCGCTGCGCGAAGCTCACGTCCTCGAAGCAGAAGACCACGAGAACGACAAAAGGAGATGAAGAATCTCACTTTTTAAAAGCAAAAAAGGATGCTTTGCATTTCCGGGTCTCCTTGGAGAAGCCCAACCGCTCCAAGGCCTCGCTGTCTTCTCGGTCCATCCCAGCACGTACGATGGCCGCCCCTGGCCGCCGGCCCTCAGAGCTTGTGAGCGGAAGCGCCAGGACTCCGAAAAGCACCATACACAACCAGTTCACAACTTCTTTTACAGCCTGGACCCCCGGGACCCTCTTTTGCCCGGCTCGGCCAGGCACGCTCACGAGGATTTGCCGTGTGAACTCGCTGTTGTCGGTCGTCTCTCTTCGCACCTGCCAGCACCCGATGACCCTGAAGGAAGAACGACTTCTTTCAACCGTGCCTGATCTAGGACGAGGGCAAGGATCTGTGAGACTTCCTCAAAGACAACGGATCAGTGAGAAATGAAAAGAATGCTTCTTCGATTTCTTCGTCTCTCTTTGAGGCTCGCTCCAGGTTGATCTTGTTTGCCTGGGCCTTGCCTTTCTGGAAGAGGTCACTCTGCCAGTGATGCTGTGCCACTTGGAATTCCGCCAAGGTCTGCGGCTGCGGAAAATGGCAGCGCAGACATCGAAAGTTAGCAACGTCTTGGAAAATCTCGCGCACTGCGAAGTAACTGCCGCCTTCCCAGCAAGCACGAGTGCATGCTGCGTGCTAAACCGAGGCATTTCAACGGGACATGAGATTTCACTCGGCATTCACTGAGCACTCGGCGGAACCACGGGTGCAGGAAGAACAGGCGGTCTTCAAGCACGCGTCCAGCTTTAGCCATCCGGCCCCATCTACCCGCATTTCGCCAGTGCAGGAAGGATTTACGCATCGGAAACTCCTGGCATAGCTGAGCAAGCTGAGCATCAAAGTGACCATCAAACTGCAAGCTTGTGCAGAGCTAATGCATACGGAAAGTCTTGTTCTCCTGGAAGAAGCGCAGCCGGCGCAGGGACCGGTAGAGTCTTCGTTCCTTTAGCCACTCGCGCAAGGGGATGAAGCTGGTAGGGAGACCGTTCTCGTAGTGTGACATTCCGGCAGGACTCACCGTCATGTAGCTCTCCAAAGACACTTCTCGGAACGGAACCAGTTCCAAGTCGTAGGCGTTCGCACAGCACTTCACGTAGACAAACTCCTTCCCTGGCAGCGTCTCCTCCCTCTTCTCAGCTCCTCTCAGAATCTCCAAGAAGATGTCAAAGGGCCGAGATGAACCTTCCTCTTTGCAAATACCAAGACGGCAAACAAGACTGGAGGCACATATTGCACACTGTGTGTTGACGCTGCCTGCTCCTCTGCTTCCATTTGTTCACTCTCGGAGCATCCCAGGTCCCTTAGCATACTTAGCATGCACATTGTTTCCATCACACAAATTGCTATGCCTTCAGCTGAGGCACAGGGAGGCCTGAGAAGACGGATATTGAGGGTAAGCCTGGAGAACAAGAAGATACACAGATACACACCCGTGGAACGCCGTGGGATGGTGTGACCGGGTCCCTGACCTGCGCTCGCGGCGGCAGCGGTGGCAAGCTGTGTGCTGGGAGGCCAAGGCCAGCCGCGCCAGCCGCGCCAGCCACTGACGCCGCTGAAGGCGTCGTCGTCCTCCCACAAAGGCCACATGGTGCCATCACACCACAGACCGTCGAATCGTCAAAGTCTAATCGTCGCTCCTACCCACGAACTTGTCCAGCAGCCGGTGTGCATCGGCCACCTTTGAAGAAGCCATTCAGAACGTGTTCTCTCGTGTGCTGCAGGCTGCAGCCGCGTTTCCTGGAGATCTGAGGCACTGGGAGCTGCGTGAGCTGCTCCACGGTGTCGAGGCCTCCAAAAGTTCAAAAGGCGAAAGGTGTTCGCAAAACTCGCTTAAAGAGCTCAAAGAGCAGAGCATAGCAGAGCTCTTCCTTTTGAACCTTCAAGTTTGCTTCAAAAACTTTCCTTGGCGTTCGAGGCGAGCCAGCTGGCGCCACCTCGGGCTCCTCGTAAAGCCGCCTCCCCAAGCAGAGCAAAGAAATTCGAAGCGAAGCTCTAAGCTTCTAAGCTTCTAAGCTTTTACCTTCCCTTTCTTCTACCTTCCCTTGCTCTTTCTTCTTCCCTTCTTCTCTTTCTTTCACTTCCATTTCTCGACTCTCTCCCCACCTTCGTAGCTGGGACCGCGACAGCATGGCTCCATCACGGAAGCTAACCCTTTTCCTCTATGTCCTTGCACTTACAGCTTGCGCAGTTTCAGGAGCCCCCTCCACTCATCCTGAGGTTTTCGCTTGGAAGGGCTGCAAGCTGTTATGGCTCATTGAGAGGCTACCTTCCTCAGACGTCCCGGCTTCCCGGCTTTGATACCCCCTTTGGATCACGTCAAGGTGAGAACAGGCAGGTCTAGAAAGCTGTTTGTGTGCAACTTAACCTTTGCATTCTCAGCAAAGGCCCTGGGCCCTGGAGGCGACTTCTTTGTCTCAATGCTCAGTCTGCTCAATTCTGCTCAGTGCTCAGTGAACTCATCCTCGTAGTCTGTCAGCAGCTCCCGCCTTTGCTTCGTCTTATTTATGTGAAGCAGCTGCTGGTTCCCGCTGGCCTTGCTCGGAGAGTGCATAGGGCGCCACACGTGCAGAAGCCTCGGTTTTGCACATTTGCACTTCCTAAAGGCATGATCTCAACTCCAACCCTAGCGGCCCTAGCTCTACCACTTTGCGCAGCCGTCCCCAAGGGCTTGCAAGGCTTGCGCCCCGCATCTCAACTGGCAATGTCGCGCAAAACCTTAAGCCACACCTATAGAAACTTAAGCTTCACAAAGTTGTGAAGCATCTTCGCCTTCACGGACCGTGGCCAAGATGCAGAGTAGCAGCAGGCCCAGCAGCACGGAGATCACCACGCTGCCTGAAGAAAGCAAGGAGAAACTTCACTAACCTCAGGCAACTCTACAGTCGGCTTACAGTCGGCTACAGCATCTTGTTCTTGAACTTCACTTCCCTTTAGCAGGATGCATAGAAGAGTTGCTTCGCCTTTCGCAGGAAGACTTGCGCAGGGTTCCGCCTCGAAGCGCAGCGTGTACCGGGCCTCGCAAATCGATTCGAGCTTTAAAGCACTCCGTGCCACTCTGCCACTCCCGAAATCTGAAGAGTCGTCCAAGGTACGAGAAAGCCCGTCGCAGAGCTCTCAAATCATTCAAAGAGATGGGCCGTTGAACGTGTCTGTGAACCAGGCTTAATGAAACAGGGCAGATGCGATCAGGGCAAGACGCATTCTTGACGTCACGCCTAAACTATCAGATTCAAATAAACAGAAGCCCTGTGAAAGCACTAACCGCAACGCGCCGCTACGAAGTCTCAGGATTCTCAGGCCTGCGAGGTCTTGAAGAAGAGGCAGCTGGAGGTGTTGGTCTCTGTGCAAGAGGACTCTGTGGCCTCTCGGAGAATTTCCTCTTCTCACATGCACGCAGCTCCGTGTCAATGTCCTCCTCATCTGCGGGATCCCAAGTCTTCTCCTCTAAGCGGTTGTACCAGCACGGTATCCTCAATTTGCAGGCTCAAGACCGATCGGACCAAGCCAGTCCCAGTTTCCTGCTTCTGTTCTCCAGCAAGGCCCTGTATCGCTGGTCCTGCACTTTCAAAACTTGGTCAGTAGGACTTTGAAGGAAGGAACCGGGCTTCGAGAAGGAGCACTGGCCGCGTCCTGCTGCACGTCGATGCGGGAGTTCAATCCGCACTTGTCGGCCTGGGGCTTTGCTTCCTACCGCTTCGGCTTAGCAGCTCTGCTAAGCTTCGGGGACCAGACTTGCACGTCAAAGCAGAGACCTCCATCTGCCGGATCTCTACCTCTGTCTCTTGTCGCTCAACTTCGCACACGTACACAGCTAACCAAGCACCCAGCAGTACCTAACAAAGACACTGGAGAGCACATTTCGATACTCACCTAACCTGCAAGGCCGGCATGCTACGAAACGATTTGCTCAAACGAACCAGCCTGGTACAAGCAGTGCCAGATGCAAACTCTTCACATCTGGATGCAATGGTCGTCACTCGTCCAGGCCCCAGCACCTCGCCATTGCACATATTTTTAAAGCGCGAGGCATGCGACGCTTAAGCGTTGCCCTGCATTGCCCTGCCATCCCTGCCACGCGTCTTGAAGCTTCATAATCTGGTGGCCGGCACCGTACATTCAGCCTCTTCCCATCTCTCCCGAAGACCCTGCAGCGTGAGCTCCAGGAAACCTGCACACGTCTGCCTTGAAGCTGTTTCTAGACATTGGATCTTTAATGTAAGCTTGTGTTCAATTTAGTTGTCAGCTCGACACCTCCAAATGCTATCGTCATGGTGAGGCACAGGCAGGCGGCACAGGCCGTACCTGTCGACTCAGCACTGGACCCAGCTCGCAGAATCACTGCCGACATGCTACAAGGGCGCATGCGAGAAGAGTCCTTGCCAGAGGCCTGGGAGATGGGCAAAAGGAGAGGAAAGGCGAGTTAAGATTGGAGGAGGTGCAGGTACTCCGGCTGAAAACCACTCGGGCTGGCACGTGACTTCATCGAGCTGGCCGAAACAGACTTCCAGCAAGCCCTGTGCAAAGACGAATTGACTCTGAGATAGTTTTGAAGCTGCTGCAGCTATCCGCAGATCTGCAGCTTTCACCTGGCAGGCCCACTTCCTCCCCACTCCCATTCCACAAGGCTTGCAAGGCAAGACTTGGAGGCAGCGGCTCAGCGGGCATCTTGGGTGAAACGGCTGCAGCACAGCAAACTCATCTCTGAGAAGCGCTAAGCAACTTTAAAAGACAGACTCCTCCTCTCTCTTGAAGACTTGGCGCTCTTTGCAAAGTGCTTTGTCTTGAAGGTAGCAAGACAGTCAGTACTGGCGAACCTCGGCCAGGTGCTCCGAACGGCTTCTGCACTCTGCACAGTCTGCACACGCAGCGCAACTGACCAGCTACCGCAGCTACCTGCTGCCTCCCTCTTTCTCACTCCCCTCTTCTCCACTCGAAGCTCCCGGCGGCCCGATCCACGTTGGTCTTGCAGATCGGGCAATCGGTGCAACGCCGGAGCCTCCAAGGACACGGCACGGATAAAATGTTGCAACCACCGAAGTTCCGTCCCACCATTTGCGAGGGCTTTGCAACAACCGTTCGGTCTGTGCGAAGTCATCACCGAATTCCGTTGTGCGGATTGTTATGTGGATTCTGCAGCCACCGACCGGGACCACGGCAATTGCAGCATGCAAGCTCCAATTTGGGCGAGAGGCTTGCAGCAGAGGAGATGCACGAATTCCGAGCCCACAAGGCACGCGGGAGAGTGCCGTCGGAAAGCCGATGGATGTTGCGGAGGGCCTTTTGATTGTGGACATCGTGGATGGTGGGATGCTCCGTGCAGTGGAGATTTCCAGATCAGCTTGACAGCTTCAAAACATTGACGCAGGCTATGTTTCCAGTCCTTTCCCCTATTCAGACTCCCCTCGAACCTTGAAGCTAGCCAGAATCTGAACTTGCAAAATATCACCCCAACAGGAGCTTTCCGGTTACCATCGGCTCACTACAAGGGCCCTCCACAATTCAGAGTCCTTTGTCGTCGTCGCTTGCAAGTTGCGGCTTGCATCTGACTTCTGTTCAGGGAAAGCCACGTACGTATATCAGCGTGAAGTGCGCCGTGCGACCGCGACACGGGACGCTGGACAGACCCCGGGAAGGAGAGGAAAAGAGAAGGTGAAGAAAAGTGAAAAAACTTGAGCAACTTTTTCCAAATCTTAAATGGTTCAACCGTGTACAGAGTTAAGCTGGCCCCTGCAGTAGGATTTCGGCACATGTCAGCAGGCACACATACAGTAACCCTTTGCAGGGACCGCACAACTGTACATCATCCAGAGCGTGCAACAACCCAGGCCGAACAACAGAGGCGGCAAGTAAACGCCCCTGCACTCCAACTGCAACGGACAACCGCGAGAACAAAAACCTGGATCAGGCCCAAGGGCCACCAACAAGTACGAATCAACTCAGGGCTACCTACAGATCCGATACCGGGAACGGCGATCACGCTTCTGGCGCCTATGATTGGAACGCCACGGCCTGGCCGCCGCCTCAGGCACTACGGTTTCCAAGTCCTGTCTGCGTTTTCTACGCCACTTCCCCTGCCCCTCGCTGAGCCCCGATGCCAACCTCGCCATGTATGGTAGCGGGGGCTAGCACACAAGTACGTAACTAGAGACTAGTGCATGCATTGCATGCATGCTAAGGCAAGGCCAAGAGCCCAGCCGCCTCATGTTTGCGGTGCGTCAGGAAAAGCCTAGTAGGGGCTCAACGGAGAGACTGGACTTAAGCTCGTTCGAGACATAACAAAGTACGTATTCTGCTGTTCTTGTGCCCACGTCCTTACCAAACTGTCCTGCGAGCCTACGACTTCTCCGCCACCAAATATCTTGCCCAGGTCCAAGCCGAAGTCTTCTCCACGAACAAAAAATTGTCCTAACAGGGCTTTCCCAAAAAGTAAGCGCAGATCGACGGTGACAACAAGATGGACTGTGGTCAGCAGGGACTCTGATAAGAAAAATGAAAAACGGAAATCCCAATCGACTACCGCTTAGTGTCAGAAAGGCATGCCGAAACTGAAACCAATCAGACGCCAGAGTCCCCACACAAAGATGGAAAGGAAAACCAAAGTAAGGGCAGGAGCGGACAAGGCAAGGAAAGGGAAAGGGAGAGCGGGCCCGAACGAAACTGACAGGCGGCACGACACAAAACCACGACCTCTACACCCCACGTACGGCACGAACAAACAAGAAGCAATTTCAACGCGAGATGGTACAAGCACCCAGCGGTCTCCTGCGAGCAGGACCGCCGCCCAAAACGTGTCTCAGCGAGGGAAGGGAGGCCGGGTAAGCACAGCCGAATCAGATGAAAGACGAACCACCCACCCCACCAAAAAAAAAACAAAACTTTACAAGTGTTGTGCGACCACCCCATGACCAAAACGAGCGGGAGCACGACATGGCGCAAGTAAGGTTTGCCCTAAATGACCACCGGGGCCACGGCCCAAAAAACATCGAGGTTACCAAAGAACACCCCTTGGCTTTCAACTGCATTCCTACCTCCCAACCCAACAGCTCAATGCGACCGGACTCCCTAAAGGAGGCAGATCCTAAAGGGGACGAAGACGAAAAACGAGAAGAGTGAGGAGGAAAGAAAAGGAGAGAGAATGAGGGCCCGCATCTGAGAAAAATGCGGCATTCGCACCGTTAGAATGTGGCTACAAAACTCCCGTGGGATCGGATAACTTTGGACCATCACGGATAGCTATCTCAAAGACCAAGCTCCAAGCCAGGGGTGTACCGTGGGCCTACAGGCCCCCGGGAATGGAGCAAGCCCCTAACCGCCCCCAGAGCCCTGACTAACACGGTGTGGCTGCTGCCGCGTAATGCCCCTATGACGCACAGTCCAAAGTCCGCGTGGCTCTGCCCCTCGCCTGTGAATTGAATTCAACAGCATTTCCGGTATGAGGGTTTACCCCGACCGACCTGAGTCCCGTCACCAAGAGGCAGCGGTCGAAATAGTCGAGGAGGTCTGCAGCCAAATGGTCCGGCCAGAGTCCTTTGAGCATCTCCTCATCTCATGTCGGAAGAAGATATCCTTTCTAAACCCTTCTACTATCACTTGCGCGTAGCCAATATATGAGGCCAGGGGGTCAGACGTTGAAGTCTTCTGGCAAGTTCGGTCAGCAACGCACGACGTACTCGAGCTCAGGAAGATAAGTGTTATTTGTGTAATTGAGTGTGGGTGTTCTTGCGGTGCCCAAAAGAGAAGCTGCTGCACTGCTTGGCTACTTTTGGTCCGTGTGTGAGGTCTGCAACGGAGCCGTCTGCATCTCTCTGCATCTCTTGGGAGTTTCTGTTCCGCTGTGTTCTTCTTTTCCCCTTTTGAACTGTTTTCACGCAATCTACACCAGCCGCACCAGCCGTCAGAGGAACGTTCACATTGGAGGGACCACCTTCGAAGGCCGCAGTGCGGGCAAGGATAGAACTTCTATGAGTACGTCCTGGCTCCCCTGTGTTCGCGCTCCGAGACCTTGGATCCTTCGGAACTCACCCTCGGTTGGGGGCATCTGAGCTGGTGGTCGTCCGATCCAAAGCGCCTTTTGACCTGCAGCCCCGAGAATAGGGAGAGTTTTCGGAATGCTGCGAAAGCTACCTGAAAGCGATCCAAGACCCTATCAGGCAGGCAAGGGCCTGCGGCAAGGCCCTGCAAGGCGCGGGGTTCTTTGTAGGATGCATCTCTTTGGGCGGAAGATGCCGTCTTTCCTTCGTGCAAGGTGTGGCTCTCTCTGCAAATTACAACTTCTGGTGTTGGAATTTCTCAGAGGCTGCAATTTACCGCATTGCTGCTCTTGCAATGCCTCAAGTGCGGTAAATGGAAACATCTGCTGGTCTTGGAGCGCTTCAATTGCTGCACATTACAGCATTTGCTGGTCTTGGAAGTTGTCGGGCAATATATCCAAAACGTACATTTTTTGATGTCGCGAAAACCCAACAGTTTTCACATGTTTGGCAAATAGCAACCAATTGGTGTGACCGCAGCTGATCCCAAGACGGCTGCCAGAGCGTTAGATTGAAGTTGGCGGGCATCATGCTGGTTTAGGGTTTAACTAGGTTGGAGTTTGTGAGTAACTAGCGGCAAATGGTTTTACAAGTGGGCTTACATCGCGATAGTTCGATTTTGTATCCTAAACCTTGGTGGTTCCCAGTGGGTCATGGAGGCATGGATCCTCATGATGTTGTCTTATGGCTCCGATATAATCGATTAGATGTGGTTTCTCCATTCTTGTTGAACTCCTTCCTTCCGTAGGAACAACCAACAAGTAATCTGGAAAGCTCGCACGTCAGTCTTATCCGTGCCTCTAATTCCAAAGGCCACTTTTTTCCACAGCAACTAGTTGAAGGAGTGGAGAGTTGCTAGACCCGCAAACTCCTCAATTTACAACATTTGAAGCGTTCCATTACAGCATTTGGAGCGTGCCAGGACCAGCAGATGCTGTGATTCATGGCGGTTCAAGCGTTGCAAGACCAGCAAATGCCGTAATCAGTAAAACATGTTGGCTTTATGATGACTTCTTGAACGAAGTTTCGAGATTCTCCGGCTGCGCGAAACCACGGCCGGTTAGGCGATGAAACGAGAATGTGCCCCGGCACCGCCGAGTGCGGCCAACCGTGTGAGGAGCTTGGGAATGGGTTGGACGGGTCGGAATGGTCAAAGCAAAATGAGGGCAGTACACTACGCCAAGAGTGTTCACTTTAAGCTGAGTCTGCGAGATGACTGCATCTTTTTTGTTTTTACAACTATGGAAAAAGCCTGCCTTGGGACAAAAAACTCGCAGGAGGTGCGAAGAGCTTGAAGTATCCAGCCCTTTCTGTAATTATCGCCCGCCCCTCCCGCTGGCCACTCGTCAATGCACTGGAGGTGGAAGACATGTTGGCACGGCAGCCGTCGCACCTAGCATGGGTACATTCAAGAAAAGCAACATGACTCCAACCAGCCTCATTGCCCTCCTCGAAGGGGCACAAGCAGACCTTCAAGTCTCAAGAGTTTTGATGCGGCATATCCCCAGATCCTGGTCCGAGCGACCATACACTGAGTCTGCCCGTGTTCGCTCTGGTCTTCGGTCCACCTAGGACGCACACTGCGATGCCGTTCTGTGAAATTTCCTGCAAAATTCACTGAACCAATTACAGAATGCAGTGCAGACTGCAGGGCAGTGGCCTGGTGCGCGGGATCCGATCGATGACCTCTTGAGCCATTCCATGCCTTCGGGACAGGATCTCCTGGACCTGCCAAAAAATCAAAAAGAAAATGCAAGGAGCAAAGCAAGCTGAAATGAAGCTCTTTCTGAAAGCCTCACCTCCATCAAGCGCTCCTCATATCCGCCAGCAAGTGCCTGAAACCGCTTGAGAACAGACTGCATCAAAGCTGAAACACGATATGTACACGCTTAAACCGCTAAAGCGCTCCAAACACCTCAGTGTTGAGGAGCATCATTTGAAGCCCGGGCGGCAAGCTCTGTAGCTGCTCCAGCCTGGAAACAAGAACCCTTTTCCGTGATGCTTTGTGATGCACTGCTTTGTCTGGGACCACAACATTTCTGGTGGAAGCAAGTTGCGGAGGGACGGATGAAGAACCTCCGTCTCAGGCGCTGCAGCGCTGCAAGTAACCATCCCCAAAACATCCTAAAACTCTTTTCAGGCTGCGGCCCCTTCGCAGTAGATAGTGGTGTTCTTGCCTTAGAAAGCAAATCCATGCAACTTACGGGGACTGAAAACAATCTGGGCACCACTGCCAATCCTTCCCCTTTCTCCGCGCGGCTCGCAGCACACGACTTTGAACTGAACCCCCTGCCACGAATTGATCGAAGCTTGCAGTTCAGCTAGGCAAATGGGGTTCGGCACCTGAAAAGTGAACTGGTCGTTCATGGCAAAGCTTTGCTGTTTGTTCCTCGGATCTTCATATTGGGCTTCCTTTCACCGAAATAGCTGGCAGACTTCCTGACTGATCCCACTGATCTTGATCTTGTCTCTTCTTCGGATGCATATGTGCAAGCCTTCTTCACTGTAGAGGGACTTACGTGATTCCTTGGACACAGTCACTCATTGAAAAGGCTGAGGCCCCGAACTTCTTTGTCCCTCAAATCCCGTCAATGTCTACTGGCCATGTTTCCGTGTGAGGTAAGGCTTCAGGTAGTCGTTGAAAATGTCGTACTCATACCTTGAAGGTTGTCGCGTAGAAAACAAAAAATGAGTAGCTCTTGGAACCGAACGCTGCCGGTAAAGTGTCCTGAAAGGGCACAAAGTGGATCTTCGAGAACTCTGGCCTTCAAAGGATACAATCATTCGTGGGCTGTGCTTCGGGTGGCTGTGCTGGGGTTCCTGGGAAGTGCTGTGACTCAATGGATTTGGCAACGGCGTTTGACGTGATTTGTCAGTCTGGCTTGGCTTGCCTTGCTTCATTTTGGATGAATTTCCCGAATGCTCCGCGAAGGGTTCCCATTTTAAGTTTTGGGGTCCAGGGCGTCCAGTAGCTGACTAAAAACCTTTGTGCCCGCGACGCGCTGGCGAGTGTCGCGACCCCGCTGGAGCACCCAAGGTTGTCCCTTTTGGACCCGAACGTGTCTTCATCGCGTGCCGAAAGTGTCAACTCTCACAGGGATGCGGGCCCTTGGGGTCGCCATCTTCGCAACTGTCTTTGTTTTTGGTCCTCGTGTCAGAAGTCTCAACGGTCACAGGGATGGGGCCGGGCGCCCCGGTTATTGTTAAGGCTAATGCAAGGACAAGATGTTCCGCATATGTAACGCATTTCACGTGGATGTGTTGAATGCCTGACCCGAGTTTAGGGCGGTAGGGGTACACGTTGCAGAAGGATAGTCGCAGGGTTGTACGAGGCTGTTTAGGGTCTGAGGTGTCGAGGTCCATTTGTTCAGTATGTCTTCTTCGGATTATCATGATGTGCCCCATTGTATCAGAACGGCCCTCACAAATCAAACATCCACTGCGCCTACGAATTATTCTAAAAGATCTGAGGCCTCCCCAGAGCAACAAGAGGTTATGCTTGCCCAAGTGCTGAACACTGTTGCGGGTGTTCCTCGCCCAACGGACATAACAGCAGCAGGAGCGCAAACCGCAGCAGCATTAGCAGCAGACTTCCCTATGCAGTTTCGGCCAAGCCCTACAGGAGGAGACCTCTGGAGTCTTGGTCAGGCGCTTGAGCGAGGTCCAGAATTCAAATGGCGTAGTAACACCGGGGAAATGAGACGGCTTCGCTACAGCGTTCCCAGGATTGATGTCCTGGAACAAGCGTGCGAATCTTGAATCCTGTGGACAGGAAACCGAGCAACAGACACACGACTTGTTGGCCAACGGAGCTACGCCAGCTGCTGAGAGTGTTGGGACAATGAGGGCTGGCACAAGATGCCCTAAGTGCTTTGCAAGAGCAAATGCAAGATGCTTGCACCCAGCTGGAGAAGCGAACAGCTGATCTGGAAGGAGCCGAGATCTTGAAGGCAGAGAATGCTCAGCAAAGCCGTGTGGCAAAGCTGGAGGTGTTTGGACTTGTCGCACATCCATTTTTTGACCGACAAGTTAGGACCATCCTCGCCTATTTCCCACCCCATAAAGATAAAATATAATCTTAGGAGAACTATCTTATTCCCAATACTCCTATCTAGATAAAATTTCTACGAAATTCCATCACGCTAGGCATGGTGCCACAGCCCAAAATAGGCGAGGGGTTCCTCGTAGAATTTGGTTCAGGGTTTGAGGTTAAAGGGTAAAGTTTCTACGAAACTCCATCACGCTATGCGTGGTAAAGCATTTGCTTAATCTTCTTGTTGAAAACGACAATGTAATTATAATATATAACTGCTTATGTGCTATAACCACAATATATAACTATGCAGGCTAGGTTGTTTCGGTTTGTTGTTCATAGTATGGGTAGGGGGAGAGGGAGGGTGGTGTATTCAATTATACTTGACTTGAATATTAAATTGTCATTGGTGGACTACTTTATAAAGAATTTTGAACTACCATCTCATCTAAGAACCGTGATGCCTCTTCTAGATATTCAAAGACAAATTAAGATTGTCACTCTTCAAATACTATGTCATTTTACGAAAGTATGACATACCACTTGATAATATCTAAAAAACACCTAAGATATGTTTGAAAAAGTTTTTTCTCCTGGTGCAATTTATAGAAGTCGAATCTATCTAGCGTCTCATACATTCTTTTCATTTCAAGGTAACTCAAGCGTATATTTATCCTTGAGAACATCATCTCGCATTATTTCATGAACTTCATCAAATTCTGGATACTTATATACTGTAGTAAAGGGACAGATATATTCATGAAATAAGTTCCTTAGCTTACAACATTTATCACAACCGTAGTAATCTACAAGCTTGTTTTTGAAGTTGTGAAAAACACTGCGTTTACCTAGTAAAAAATTTTGTCTCTTCTTAACTGGGATACATTTATTACAGTTATTGAAATACGTAAATTTAGAGGTAAACTTATGTATATCACTATAAAGCATAGATGTTTCATCACCCTCTCACTTTCATATTCACTGTCATATTCATTGTCAAGCATTTTCACCATAATATGTTAAATTGCTATTTCTTTAAGTGTTTGCTTAAGAAATGCAAATTTACAAGAAAATGTGTTGTCATTGATTCTTGACAGACGTATCTAAGCATTCCGAACAAGCCATGGTGTATTTAACATAATTAAAGGACCGGAGAACCCCACATGTGTAGTTTAACCCGAATTCACGTGGGATACTATTAGGATACCGTCGCCCGGCGATATAAGAAGATATGTAGAAAAAAGTGACAGACCCTCGAGAAGACATTCCACAACGAGACGATGAACACATTGCGTGAGCGCGAAGTCGGCATCAGCTGCAGCTGATGTATAGGTATATGTAGATGATCCCGTGTACATTTCGCATATGTTTTTTGCCATACTGTGTAGGTGAAGATACATATATATATATATGCTAACCCCTCCCCCTAGGACCAACCTTGCAATGTTCCAAAATTCCAAAACTCCAAAATTCCAAAATTCCA